AAAAAAAAAAAAAATTAAAAATTATCGAAAAGAAAAATTATCGGAAGAAGTACACAATGTTTTAACCCCTAAGTGGTGCACTTAAAAATTGCATTCTTTATGCTGGGCCAAGAAATTTCGTTAGTAAATTTTTGATTAAATTTTTAAATTTGGCAACGAGATATACGTGCATCTCCTTTTACCTAAAATAGTCTATAATTTGTTTAGCAATGATTCAATCTCGTAAAAACAACTGATCTTAAAAATAACAGCTGATTAATCAGCTGATTAATGGTCTATCCTTGTCTTTTATATTCATTGTTGAGATTACTAGACGTTTTTATTTAGGTCCGTTTACAGAATAGACATCCCAGAGATGTTAAAATTATAACATGCTAGAAATTTTCAACGGGTTTCAGCTTTCTCCTTCGCTATTCAAACTAGTGTTCATGATACTATAAGTTTTCAAATCAAACATTTTTTTCTAACTGGATTTTCTCGGTACTCCGAAGTCGTACAGTCTTCTAACACCTGTATTTTCGTTGTAGTTTGAAGAGATAATGATTTTTTTATTTTTATACTAAAAAATAAAAGATATTGATTAAAATATAACTTCATGCTATAAATAACCTTATAACCTGAAAATATACGATTTTGAAAATAAACTTTACAAAAGATTGAACCAATTTGAGCTAATCCAAAAGTGAACAGCTGACTCTCCATTATGCTTCAACAAAACTAAAAATAATAATTAAACACAAATTGCTTCGTCTCGAATTGAGTTGTGCTGTCTTCTCTGCGGATTAGTGCCCAGAAGCAATTGTTGTACCGGTTACTTTGTTATTATTATTGTATTTTTTTTTCTGTAATATATAATAGAGAAAGAGTAGCAGGGTGCTGGCCACTTGACACTGCCTGAGGTGTGTGTCATTACTTTGCTAACATACATACATACATATRTACACACAGCAATTGTTATGCTTGTAACTATTTAGCTGGCTGTTGGCTGTAAGTAGATTGCCACAGAAAAGTGTGAAGTCAACAAACGCTTTTGGGTGATGTTAACAAATTATAATGGCTCTCTACTCTCATAGACTCTATTTAGCGAGTATGTGTGTGTGTGTACGTATAGCYATAAGGCCAACTGCAGCTGGAGAAATTTCATTTCTTATTATTTTTTTTTTGTTGTTGCTCAAATGCTTTACTTAAAGGTGGCTCGCAGCTGGCACAGCTTTTTTTGATTTTTGTTTTTCGTTTTGCTTTTTTCTATAGCATTTAGTATACTTGATTACATTTCCATTTGATTTACAATTGTCATTTATTATTATTTTTATTTAAATACATTTCACTTTTGAGCTGTTCGCCCTGAAATCTCCACACACACACACACATGTTTTCTGATTCATTTTAATGATGCATAAAATTTACATACAAACAAAACAAACAATTGGTTGCAACTGTCGCTAGCTGACAATTGTTTGGCCTATAGTACGATGTATGTATGCATATATAATATGTACAGTAGGAGCAAAGTGCAACTTTTTAAGCTCTGCTTTCTACTATGCACTTTTTTTTGACCCGCACTCAAGTTCATAACTAGACATATGTCCATATTGTCGAAGTCCAACTGGCACTTGGTCAAAAAAAACCATACAGCGAAAATAGGAACTCATTTTGGGAAATTTTTGCTTGTGCGAGAACTTTCAGATTGGACGAAAGCTCTGAAATTGTGTTAAAGCTTTTGAATTGGGCGAAAGCTTGTTTGAAAGCTTTCACGTTTCAATTTCATTTACTCGAAAAATTGCGAAAGATTTGGAATTTTCAGGTTTTATAGGCTAAAAATCATGCAAAATTTTAGACTTTTGAACCCTTTAGCCCTCCCTTGCTCTGAAAGATTATTTTAGCCGGTCGGGTTATTTAAACATCTAAGAACATGTCAGCTTCGAAATAATGCTTAAAATATGTATACATGCAATATAATTTAATATAAACAATACTAAAAATATCTCGTTGTAATCAATTTTAAAGCAACTTTCTCTCCCAACTATATAATAATTTCTTTTCAAAAGATATATTTTGCACCAAACATGACTATTTTAGTTTACACCATAAAGTGTTTTCTTCACTCTATCTTGATTTATATTTTCAGAAATATCGATTACAAAATATGTAGTATCGATTTTCGATATATCAAATATCGATCATTTTATTTTCTTCACTCTATCTTGATTTGTATTTTCAGAAATATCGATTACAAAATATGTAGTATCGATTTTCGATATATCAAATATCGATCATTTTATTTTTAAAATTTTAATTTTTTTATTTTTTTTTTAATTATCGATATATCTTGCTAAAATAAATTGAAATTTCAATATTTAAAAGTTAAAAATGTATGATTTAGTAATAAAATACCTATGAATAGCTTGAATGAATAATCCAAAAATTTAATATTGGTAAAAATGGGTATTGATGCTTATAACTTGGGTCCCGAAAAAACGATTATATTTTTAGAAATATCGATTACAAAATATGGGTTACCGATTATATGTTTATTATTATTTTTAAATATATATTTAATTTTTAAAATATCGATATCTTAAATGATTAATCAAAAATATCAAGTTGAAAAAATCGTTATCCAAACCAAGAATGTTTATATGTATATYCAGAAATATCGGTTACAAAATATGTATTACCGATTTTCGATATATAAAATGTCCATATTTTTTTTTTTAATATCAGAATGTATCTCTAAAATAATTAAAAATTCCAATATTAATAATTCATTAAAATTATCATATTGGAAAATATTGGTATCGACACTCTTAGTTTAGGCCAAAGGAAGAATGAATATCGATTACAATATGCATATTACCGATTTCCGATATATACATATATCGATAACTTGCTTTTTAAATATCGATATATCTCCCTAAAATAAACTAAAATTTTAATATTGAATATAATAATTCTGATTCTGTAATAATATATCGATATATTAATCGATTAATCAAAAAATGTACATACAGACATATATCGATATATGGTTCCAAAAAATTATGACTCGATTACAATATATATATTATCGATTTGCGATGTATCAAATATCGATCATTTTATGTTTAGAATATATGGATATATTTAAACTAAAATCAATTCAAATTTAAAATAAAAAAAAATCGGATTCAGTAATAAAATATCAATATCAAAAATTAGCATATTAAAAAAAAAAGGTTTCGACAATGATATTTTAGGTTCAAAAAAATATACAGAATACCAACTTATAAAACTCCACATAGCTATGTATGCGGTTTCTCTTCGTTTTATTTATTTTCATTTATCATGAATTTATTTTTTTGGGTCGCCGTATTTAAAGTATAAATTTCTTTAAAATCACCTTTTGGATTTAAGTATGTGCTTTTCCACAACCCATTATATGTAATTGTCATCTTCTTCCTTTACGCTCGCTGCTTAAAAGAGTTCTTAGGTCAGTAGATAGTTAAATAGTTTTCTTTGGCATACTTTTGTTTCACTACTTTTTCTGCTCAGTTTCTTGCCTATGACTGTTTGTTTCTTGCAGCTTCCATTTTCTTTGTTTCAAACCCAAATTTCGTTAATTATTTATAATGTGATATTCGTTAATTAACTCTTCACTGTATTCCTTTTGCCATTTATTGCATTAGGAAACTTGCAAATTAACTATGTACCCTTCAGCTTTATTTGTAAACGCTTCTAAATTATCCCGTGATTATTTCAGTTAATTATTCATAATGTCATCGACTGTAGGGTTCATTGATTTGCTTAATAGCTTTTTACTAAAATTTGTCTCAAGTAAGTTTCTTGGAATTGTTTTGCAAATAAAGAAATTCTAACCTCAATACGCTTTGCAAATAGAAAGTCATTACTGATTGAAGTGGAATGCAGCTGTTTTTGATGATATTTAAGTTCAAAAAGAAGGTTTCTGAGTTACATTAGGAGACTCTAAATAATCAAGCACTCGACATTAGTTTTGTTTAAGAAGATTTGGATCAAATATATTAGATTTAAACCGTAATCTAGATCTAAATTTAATTAAAGATGATGGCTTCACTGAACTATTTGGTTAAGAGAAAACGATCTCACCTAAAAACTACCAGACCCATATAAATAATCGTTAATTTTGAGAACAAAAACAAGTGCTGAGATAGAAAAAGAATTACGGCTAGGACTTTAGTAAATATATCTTCACAAAAAAATCTCAGAATTTTTTTTTGGATTTATGGTAATATCAGTTCGAGTAAAACACCAAGCTCAACGGCGATTTGTGGGAATTTAAAAACAAATTTAGATTACCCTTTGAAAAAAATGAGTGAATATCGATTTTAGAATATACATTATCGGTTTTCGATATATCCTATGTCCATAAATTTCTTATTAAAATATTGATATATGTATGTATATTATCGATTTTCGAGATAGCAAATATCGATAATTTTCTTCTAAAATATTGATATAACTCGCTCCATAAAAAATAACTTCCAAAAGCAAGATTATCGATTTTAGAATTTATCGATTTTCGATAAATCAAATATCGATAAAAAATTTCAAATATCAATATGACTAATAAAAATTAAAAAATATTTTTTTTTTTAATTTCATATTAGGTGTTCCTAAATATATTCTCTAATTTAAACCCGTTTTGTAAAATATTTGCTAAAGGCAGTTAAATTAAGCGATGTACAGTTTTGGTATCTTTCTTTTGTTACATATATTTATACCTAAATATATTAGTTTTCTAAAAAGTGTTTGCCAAAATCTCCGAAAAATATCGAACTCTATGAATTCTCATCAATTCCACAGAATATTTCACATTTACCGCAATTTAACCATATTTCTCTAATCTCTACATTTAATATTCTCTGCACTGCTCTCTAACTTGGATTTCTCTATTGACCTGCCATATAATGTCATACCATGCAATGCCTATGCCTTGCCATGCTATGCTATGTTACGTCACGCACCCACATACATACATATGTCCACACAGCAGCAGAAGCTTTGCGTCAACGCAAATACGAGGTCCATACACATAAATCTCCACATAAAAATCCTTCCAAAACCAACACACGAACCATTACGACCACAAGCACCACGCCCACAATTACAAGTGTCAGCGTTACGAATAGGTCGTCGACGACAATTGTAAATCAGCGCGACCAACAACAACAGCAACCACTACAATACAACAATAAAAGCAACTACATTAGCACGAATGCTAACTACAACAGCGCGAACACGACGTGTACACATAACAGTAATAGTTGCCACAACAGTTACGCCATGCCTACTGAAACATTTTTGCTTAAACAAAAAGCGGCAATGCTCGCCGCAAGCAGCGCCAACACCAACAGCAACAACAACACCGGCGCTACAGTGATTGTGAAAAAGAAACCGTTATCGCCGCTACAAATCATTGCATTGCCACACAATGCAACCCTGACCACACTATCGCCTCCAATCGGCACTGCTACAGCGGCAACAACGTTAACAGCAACAACAGCGCATCAGCTGAGTCACCAACATAACGCGCATGCATGCACTGGCATCCATCGACAACAACAACAACAACTACAAACGGGACATGTGACACAAACGCTGCCGCGGCGTCCGAGTCCACTTTTAGGCGCACCGCTCTCACCCTTCACCGCGGCGCGCTCACCGTTGTCGCCATGCGCGTCGCCACATTACGTGCGTCCGACGAAAGCGTCGCGCCTGCGGGCAGCCGCCTTGGGTGAGTTGACCCCCCAGCCATTGCGCCTCCCACGCGTTCGTGTAGCGTTCGAATTGGTTGTAGAAATGTGTAAATAAGTGGTAGCATACATTTAGGTGTTGCGGACAAAGTATGCTTTTTTGTTAATGCTCATAGCTCATAAATTACTCACAGCGCCTGTAAATATGCTTTGCTTATGAGTAATGTGAATTAACACACATCTCGCAAGTCATTCACCCTTAATACATTTTTATATATCATTTAACCAACAGTTGCTAGTTGATTACACCCTGCTACAGCAATAACAAAAATAACAATTCGTTTAAGCAATCATTGTAAGCGCCTAACAATAGGCTTCGTGAAATTATAACAAACCAAAAATGCGTTACCATTGTGCTAATCAACCGCTCTACCGGGCAATAAACCATTAATCATGCATAATTGTCGTTCAGCGCGTGCCACATAACAGCTTAACCCCACAGCTTTTGAACAGCCTAATAGAATTGCTCCAAACAATTTTTTGTATAACTTATTTCCTACTCTATCCCGTAGATATAAGCATGTTTGAGCCTAATTCGACGCTACTAACCGACCAACTCACCACCCTCTTCCATTCCTTTTTCTCTCTCTTCCTCTTTACATTGTATAGATAAGAAAAAGTGCGAAGACGAGACAATTCAGCGTCCACGCTCACCATGCTATGGTTCACCGTTGACATCACCACGTCCAGCCGCATCACCAAAGCATCAATCGCCGCGCCTCTCGACGAGCTCATCATCGGACAATCCACGTCCAACCACAGCCGATTCAGAAAGTGATACAAAATTGGCGCAAAACTCATCGCTTACCGTAAAGCAACGTCTCACATCGACCTCCTCCAATGAGTCACCAACCACCAATAAGAAGTTGATACCCTCCGTTTCCGTATCGGTTAAACAGAATCTCAGCGAATTGCAATTTAATGGTGGTCCTAAGAAAACGAGCTCTTCAAAATTGAAAAAACCACGCACGCAGAACGCAACGCCCGCGCCAGCAACTGAATGCACCGCCAAATTCACACGCTCTGCGGGCCGCTTATCAACAGCCGAAGAGTCAGATACGCATGCGCTAGCGAACAAGGCGACAAAACCGCTGCCGCGTCCACGCACGTCCACCACCATAAAATCGAGCAAATCGAAATCGACAAATGATCTAAAAGCGGCGAGCAGCGATAGCTCGCCCAGCAAACCGGAGCTGAGCCCGGTTAATGGTGGAACTGTGAGTAGTTGTTGTAATAAATATTACATATTTTTGACAACGAATTTTTATCGAAAAATTTATTTTCTTGCAGCCTGCGAGTCCCTTGGAGGATCGCGATAAATCATCGAAACGCAAATCGAATTTGAACCGTTCGCTCAACGAAGAGGCCACCGTCGATAGTGGTGAGTTGCTGTGTACGATGCATTTACTTATTTTATTAATATATGTATGAAATCGGGTGAAATGGAATTATATCATTTTCATCTTTTCTTATAGTAATCAATCTGAAATATCTGCTGCTAACCGCAAAAATAAGGAAAAATAAGCTATTTTTAAGTATGTATTGACACATAGCGTTCGCAAAGAATTCTTCACCCAGCAAGCACAACAAACAATTGCCGCAATATTTTACGTACAAAATGCGAAGTAAACCAACACATGAATTACAGACAAGATTTTTCAGCAAAAGTTACTTTTTTTTTTCAAAAGCTAGATAGTTATAATAGACCAGAACCTAACTTACTTATCCCGAAGCTTTCTTACAAATCCAAAATTCTCTATAGATCGAACGTACTTATCAGTGGTTTATAGTTGAGAGGATTTTTTTCTTTTATCACTGAATATTGAGGCCACACTAGACCTAAGGTCGCGGTGCAATCCTCATCAATTTATCCTATCACTGAATATTTATTATATTCTATTCCTTAAACGACACTGTCAGAGACTCGAAACTGTTCCTCGAATCTATAAAAGTTTTTGTACATTCAAAATGCTTAACTTTTCTTGACTTCATCGTTGCTAAAATGAGGAATCTTTATTGGTTCTCATTTGTATACTTCAGAAAATTTACATTTTTATATACTTGTTTAATACATATATACATACATTCGACTTCGAAATACTTTATTTGGGGTTAGTACAAGCGGGAAAATGACACGTTTCATAAAACTTAAAATTAGTTGATCCATAAATGAAGCTTCTGCCTTACGCCTAATACAGACTCGATTGAATTTTCTTCAAATGAGTGGAAGTTGAACATTCTCATACCCAGAACGGGGTGTATTAAGATTTCACGAAGTTTGTAACACCCAGAGGGAAATATCGGATACACTGAATAGAAGTGGTCAGCGTGATGAGCACGGAACGGACCCAGATTTTCATCGGACCACGGACTGTCAACTCGACCGAGTCGTTTTACCCATCCCCGTCTGTCAGTCGCTTTTACGTGAACCAGTCCGTTAATTTTTGAGATGGCGATCTGAAATTTTCGTCCTTTTCTCCACGAAAAGCTACTCATTTGCCGGCACCTCCGATATCGGACAACATATAGCTGTGGTCATACAAACTGAACGATGGAAATTAACTCTTTTTATGGAAAACTTTTTTTTTTTTTTTTTTTTGACATATCGTCATGAAATTTGGCATGCATTATTATCCAAGGCAATCCTATAAAACCGGCAATATTGTACAGATCGGACTACTATAGCATGTAAATCCGCTTTACAAATTAACGAATCGAAATTAAGTTCCTGTATGGAAGCTTTCTTATTTATGAGGGATATGCTTCGGTCACTGTCGAGTAGATTTTTGTATATGGTTTTTTGGATCATAAGTTGTACAAAATAAAGTAAATTACTTCGTCAGTGGTCAGCTATGAGAAATTTTTTAGAAAATTTTGCAGTTATTCGGGAGCGTATATAACTTTTAAGCGCTTCCATTTATCTCACAAGCTTCTTTTCTATGGCTTCACAAAGGACTACATTTACCAGTCCACGTGCGATCTTTGATCAGGCATCTATTGATTTTATTATTATTGAAATCAATATTGAAGAAAAAATAAAAAACCATTTAGTCTTTTCAAAGGGTACACTGCAACCTATATAATTATAACCGTAAAATTGTTCACAAAATCATGAATGTAACAAGTGACTGTATTCTACGACTACCGTTTGTAATTTATTTTATCGAAAAACTTGGAATGTAATTGTTTCGACCAAAAAATTTTCAACGTCCAACGAAGCTTTTGGTGATGATCAAAAGCCATAACTCTCTATTTCGCTAATAAAATTCGAAACAGGTAGTCATACAGTATAATTGAGCCTGTCTGGCAGGGCACTAAGGCGAATGTTGTTTCCCTAGTTGATTTCTTATGATATAATCTGTTATAGTCTAGCGAAGAACACAGTTATTTTTGAAAAATCTCAAATAGGAAAAGATAAAGTCAGTGTGGATATATAGTGACAGTCGGTTCTAAGTATACGGCAACAACTCCGTATTTTTTACCGACGATGAATTGTAAACATGGAAGCCTTTTCAAAAAAGTTTTAGTAAAAGTTTGCTAATACTACTAGAAAATTGGCAGTGTGAAAAGAAGTTAGGCATTTTAATTAGTGAAAAAAAAAAAAACAGAAACTGGCCAAGTTCCCATATACTCGGTGGTCCAGCAAACCTTACCACTATACTTTCTTACATTTTTTTCGGACTTTTTCGTTCGTTCGGGAGTTTCTTCAATTTTGTTTTTTTATTTTTATTTTTTTAGTAAGCATAAGTAAACTAAATTATATTATCTAATTATAATTATGGTTTTTAATTTATTACTATTTTCTGCGCTTATACAAAAGCGGCGGATTTTATTGTTTTTAAAGTGATACA